TGGTTAACAATGTGTCCATAGTAGAAGATCAGGTAACAAGTTCTAGTGATTTGGTTAACAATGTGTCCATAGTAGAAGATCAGGTAACAAGTTCTAGTGATTTGGTTAACAATGTGTCCATAGTAGAAGATCAGGTAACAAGCTCTAGTGACTTGGTTAACAAACATTGTTAACCCCTGATCTTCTACTATGGACAACTTGTTAGTTAACCAAATCACTAGAACTTGTTACCTGATCTTCTACTATGGACACATTCTAGTGATTTGGTTAACAATGTGTCCATAGTAGAAGATCAGGTAACAAGCTCTAGTGACTTGGTTAACAATATGTCCATAGTAGAAGGTTAACCAAATCACTAGAACTTGTTACCTGATAACTTGTTACCTGATCTTCTACTATGGACACATTCTAGTGATTTTGGTTAACAATATGTCCATAGTAGAAGATCAGGTAACAAGTTCTAGTGATATGGTTAACAATGTGTCCATAGTAGAAGATCAGGTAACAAGTTCTAGTGATTTGGTTAACAATGTGTCCATAGTAGAAGATCAGGTAACAAGTTCTAGAAATTTGGTTAACAATGTGTCCATAGTAGAAGATCAGGGTAACAAGATCTACTGATTTGGTTAACATTATCTTATCATTTTTCTATTAATCATTCACTGATCATTCCGAGTCACATATTTTATGACAGTAAACACAATGATCTGTAACTTTCATCTTTCTTTCTTTCCATCATATATAATGTTTATTTTTCTGTTTAACATTCACTGATCATTCCGAGTCACATATTTTATGACAGTATACACAATGATCTGTAACTTTCATCTTTCTTTCCATCATATATAATGTTTATTTTTCTGTTTAACATTCACTGATCATTCCGAGTCACATATTTTATAACAGTATACACAATGATCTGTAACTTTCATCAGATGTTCATCTTTCTTTCCATCATATATAATGTTTATTTTTTCTGTTTAACATTCACTGATCATTCCGAGTCACATATTTTATGACAGTATACACAATGACCTGTAACTTTCATCTTTCTTTCCATCATATATAATGTTTATTTTTTCTGTTTAACATTACACTGTATATGTTTATATGTATGCACTCTCTCATTTCCTGCTGTTGGACTTAAAGGTATACATTATTATCTCTAATTATTTTATGAATATCTTCTTCTCTAATCGATTTATTTGAAAAATGATCTGTCTATCTGTCCGTCTATGTTTTATTATTGATTAGAATATATTTTCTAAGTAAACCCAGGATCAAATCCCGACACCACCCCGAAGAAAGCAAAAAATTAACTTCCGAAACACCTCAAAACATTTCTGAAGACAGCAAATAAATAACAGCCGAAACGTTGGATGTACAAGAAATTGTTAATTAGTATATAACAGTAAAAACAAAAATGTCAAACTAATATAATAATAGTTATGTTGTCGTATAACCGTGACAACTTTACCGTTAGGCTTAAGATGACATCTGGTTGACTTGATTCTTGTTGTTTTCAACCATCGTAAATTCAGAGAATGAAGGGAACTTACTCAAGCATCTTCAGCCTTATCATCTATAATGTAAAAGTCGAGCCAAGAATACATAGTAACATGTACGTTGATAATCAATAGCTTGATATGTTCAAGTTTTATTAAAATGTAAGTTGTGTTTCTGTATAGTTACTCTCGTGAAAGAAGCAAACTTGTCCTTATAACAAAACCTTGAGATTCAACATTCCAGATGACTCGTCATTTCATGTTTGTATTCTTATTTCGAGCGTTTAGAATATGTCATACCAATGCGTGACATTTAGATTGAAGCAAACAACCCGAAGATATTTCCTATTTATAGACACCAGTGTTCTAACAAAGTATTTCGTGCGAGAGCTAATATTTGTCGTGTTCACATGGAAAAAGCATTTCCTTGTGTTAATCGATATTTCTAGGCGGAAACACCACACCTACGCTGCTTAAACAGATACCAGTATATCTACTTTTAGACTTTCATAATTTCAAAAGCTTCTTTTAGACTACTGATATCCTGTGCTGTCTTTCATTGCTTTCTGTGATTCTTTTTATCGAACGTCCACTTCATTAGGTACGACAATGGACTATTGTGATTGTGCTCGAAGCTGTAGCAGCTAGACAGATTTAGAGGTGGACTTTCTGGACTGTTAATTGTGAGCGAAGGGTTAATGTAATTTATTTTTAGTCAGTGACGTTTTATTCTTCAACGTTTCCTTAAAAGTTGGACAATATTTTATTAACTTAAACACGCTTGATTGAATAAGTTGTAATGTGTCCGTATTAGTGTTAGAGTCTTTAATGCCTCAAGGTCGAGTTTTTAAATAACATAATTTATTAACGCATTCCTTATTTATAGTAATAGTGATGTCTACTAGGTGGATTTTAATCCTATACGATCATTCATTTTAATGTATTCGACCAAGCACTTCTAGACACAGAGAGCCGGGGGAACTAGCCCCATTGTCAAATATCAATTCCTTGCTTTCATATTATTTACTTTTAAAAGATTAATCACGTCAGAGACAGATCCATGATACTTACACATTTGTTGTAAGGATTAGTTAATGGTACATACAATAAAATATACACACATTTATTTATAACAAGGGTTAATTAATGGTACATAGAGTAACATATACACACACTTATTTATAACAAGGGTTAATTAATGGTACATAGAGTAATATATACACACACTTATTTATAACAAGGGTTAATTAATGGTACATACAGTAAAATAAACAAATACTTATTTATAAAAAGGGTTAATTAATGGTACATAGAGTAATATATAAACACACACTTATTTATAACAAGGGTTAATTAATGGTACATAGAGTAATATATAAAC